AACGAATTGTTTGATCCCCCGGTCAGATGCCAAACATCTGCAATGTTGGGTTCTCGTGGGCGTTCTTGGGGCAGTCGTGGGGTCCTCTTGGGCCCCTCTGGGGCTCGCTTTGGCCATCTTGTGGTCATCTTGCATCGGAAGCGAAAAAGCGAGGCAAACCGCATTCATGTTCGGCAGGTCTGGGAAAGCATTTGGATTCTCGGGAGCGCCCAGGGGAGGCTCGGAGGACACTCAACACCGTCTTGGTGCGCTCTGAAGCCTTTTGGAGGCATGTTGGAGGGTACTAGTACGTGATCGTTTTCTTTTTCATTGTTTTGCCGATCGGCGCGGGCCCTCGCCCCCCACCCTCCCCCCCAACGGAGTAGGTCTTGGCTGTTTCGGGCGCCTGTTTCGAGCGGGTGGTGTCCCCCCCATAGGGCGCACTGTTGCAAACAGGCGCGCTAAGCAGAGGTCCGGAGCCAGACCCCCCCCCTTCCGCCCAATGTCGAAACGCCGACTAAGAAAACGTTCGCTGTCTTCAGCCATGATCGGATCTACTGAACCATCCTGGAGGCCATCTTAGGCTATCTGGGGCCACCCTGGGGCGATCTTAGGCTATCCTGGACGCTCGAGAACTCGTCGCGGGGGGTCGCTCAGACCCAGGGAGAGGGTGCACGCGCCGGTCGTTGAAAGTAGGCATTTTTGGACTCCCAGATCTTAATCTACAGTGGGGGCCCGTGCCAAGAAACATCTTGCTTGCCTCCAGGGTGCCTTGTGTTTCTTGGGTTTCGAGGGTGTTGCGTTGGAAAGCGTGACGCTTCCACGCCCAAGAATCCAAGGACGTCCTGGGGTCTCAGGGTTGGGTTTCTTGTGGAAAGTTTCTTGTGGCCGGGGCCCTACTGCAGGTATTTCTGGATTCCCAGATCCCAATCTACTGCAACCGCCTTCATATTTCAATAATCGATTTGCTTTTGCTGTGGTTTGTCCTTCTCTGGGAGGGCCTGAGCCAAATCTACTTTATCCGCCCTCCCACTTCATGGTTCCACCTGCTTCTTCCGACCGAGCGACCACGCGGATCTTTTTCCCCATTTCTGGCGATGACACGGGGGGCTTCCAAGAGGGGGGTTATGACTAGGAAGGGGGGGGACATCACGGCCGGGGGCCACGGTATCTCCCCTGAGTTCATGGCGCCTCTTCTTATTTCATCACGTACCTGGGCCCCCCCCCCCTCCGAGCCGCGCACATGCCGCCGGCCATGATTTACGCCCCCCCCCCCTCCTTGACCGCCCCCGAATGACGCAATTTTTCGTGCGCTGCACATTTTTCGCGTGGGCCTGAGCCCAATCTACTTGATCCGCGTTTGACCTGCTTCTTCCGACCGACGTGTACGGGGAGAGGTGCACTTCTCCTCAGAGAGGCAAGACTTTTCCCGTTGGGGGGAGGTTGGAAGCACTGGCTGGCTGCACCACCTAATCCCACAGGGCTAGGGGCGTTTCTCTTTCGTCAACCTAGTGCTTCATGAGGGCTCATGATCCTCTTCGTCCCCTCAATCCCACTCCATCTCCTCCTCCATCCTTCACCCTCCCCCGTCCTCCTCTCAGGAGGGAAAGAAACACACAGACACAATTCATCGTCGATTCCCCAGAAAATATTGGAAAATATAGGAAGTGGGGGGGGAGACAGAAACCCAGAACATATGGGAAACTATGGGGGATCCTGTTATTTGTGTGTACTTCTTTGTGTGTCCCAGGGCCCCTTCAATGATCCTCCTCGTCCCCTCAATCCCACTCCATATCCTCCTCCATCCCTCGCCCTCCCCCGTCCTCCTCCTCCTCCGGCGCGGGCGTCCCGCGGCCCTCTGGTTCTGCTCTTCCCGTTGCAGGCTCTATAGCAGCCAGCAAGAGACCCGCCGTGCGGCGAGAGCCCCGCCGGCCGTTCCCGGAAGATTGCTATCAGGGCGGCGCGCCCGCAGTATGAATTGATGGAAATTTCGTGAATATATTTTTCTTCCCAGCGCTCATTTTTTTCATCCGAACTGGTTGTGATACGAGCGCTCTCCGAGCATGGTTCGCACTCGATCGTCATCATCACATTTCCGTCTCATGGTTTCTTTTCCCCGTCGTCGTCGTCGTGGCGTCCTCCTCCTCCTCATATTCATTTTGTTCATACCTCTCCGCTGGTTACCTTCCTTACTTCCTCATCTCCCTTCTCATTATCCCTCCCCCCCCCATTCAACGATGCGTCCCAGGCCGTTCTGGCCCACTATGGAGAGGGCTCCCTCGTCGATTCAGTCAGGCACCCCGTTTAGCAACCTCATTGGCTCCTTGGGCAAGGCGTCTAAAACTTGTGATCGCAATGAGGCCAGGCAGTTGGAGCAGGTTTGCGAGGTTGGCAAACTTGTAGCCGCCTGGGCTGCGGAGAAGGCCACTCGCGGCAGCAAGCATGGCACGTGCATGCAGTGGCGCGGCGCAGATGGGACCCCAATTCAGGTTACCGAGAACGTTCGCGCGGAGCTCCCTGACACCACTATTGTGCGTCGTTCCGGCAGCGCTGCCCAAACAAGCGTTGTTTGGGAATGGGGGCGGAGGGGAGGGGCGGGAACTTGGAGGGCGGGGTGGATGGCGCGGAGGCGGGCGGGCGGGAAGGGAGGGGGTGAGGAAACCACGGAAAGGGAGGGGGGAGGGAGGGCAAGGGGTTGAGGGCGGGGAAAAGGAGCGGGGCGGGGAACTGGGAAGGACAACGGGAAGGGGGCCGAAGGGGGGCGGGATGCGATGTTTGGGGGCGGCCGAACATTTGTCAGCGAGGGAGGTCGAGGGCCACGGACGGCGGTGGGAAACGTTTAGGCGGCGGGGACTGGGCGCGGATCGGAGGGGGTCGGCAGTACAGTTTCCGCTTTGTTCGGGCAGTCTTGGAAGGGAAAGCGGCCCACGAGTTCTTGGTGGCCGCAGAGTTCACGCGAGTAGCAGACTCCTGTGGGAATTTCTCAACACACGTGTCCATACGACACACGTGTCCATACGAGACCCTTTGCCGCTCACGTCTGGCACATCGGCGGACAGAATCACAGAAGCGTGCCGTTCACAATGGAAAGCGTTGCGCCAACATGGCCATTTAGGCGGAGCGGTGCAAGGATATTGCTTTGACAGGAAAGGTTTATCAGCCATCCGGCGACGAATATTTCAATATCACAGTTTATTGAAAGAGAATCGGGGCAATTTCGATATATATATATATATATATAGATATATATATATATATATATATATATATATTGGCCCTTGTTGTGGGATCTTGAACTGGTCATTGTATTGGCGTGCGCTGCGCACGACGTGCAAAACGCGTTGAAATGGTCATTGACGACGTACTTTGATAAGACAGATCTTCTGAAAGATGCATACGTCGCCCTCTCAATCCCTCAGGAACTCTCACAACACAATCTTACTTTATTTTGGGAGTTGGGTCGCAAACCACGTATCTTTCACAAAGCCTTTCCACGATGCAGAGCGGTCGACCTGGTCGGAGGTGTGGTCCGCCCTTGGTGTCCCAGAGAGCACCCGAGATGCATTGTTGCAGCTGGAGCTTCGGCATGAAGGCGGTTCGCTTGTAGTGTCGTCCTTGCATCGGGGCAGATCAGAACTTAGTAACGCCATTCAGTCTGCGCTGGTTTCGGTGTTCAAGTTTGTGAAGTTTACAGACAGCAGGTGGCTCACAGTAAGGATCAGCGCCAGGTCCAGGGTGGCGTCGTGGCTTGTCGGTCCCAATGGATTCACCACGTGGTTGCAGGCGCAGCACGCTCCGAATACTTATTATCCGTAAGGGCTTCGCCCCCTGCCGCCGGCCCCCTCTCTCGGAGAATGGTCCATGGAAGAGCTAAGTCATGAGGCTTTGGCGCTGTCGTGCAGCAGTATCGGAACTTCACGCGGGCCGATTCGCAATCGGCAAAACCAACTGATCACAAGAGGGGTTACCACACAGGGCGATTGGTAAGACGTGTATGGTTTACGAGCTTGGTTACCACACCTTGGGATTAAAGTGCCGAGGGAGTACTCGCAGTTTGGGTTACCACGCCTTGCGATGGATGTGCGTGAGGGGTGGCACCGAATTTCAGAAATGGGGCAAATCCCCTACGTTTTTGGACCCTGACCCCGCGGATCTGCGTGAGGGGTGGCACCGAATTTCAGAAATGTAGCTAATCCCATGTGTTTTTGGACCCTGACCCTGCAGATCTGCGTAAGGGGTGGCACCGATTGCAGAAACGTTCCAGTTCCCTTGTGTTTTTGGACCCTGACCCCGCGGATCTGCGTGAGGGGTGGCACCGAATTTCAGAAATGTATCCCATGTGTTTTTGGACCCTGACCCCGCGGATCTGCGTGAGGGGTGGCACCGAATTTCAGAAATGTGGCAAATCCCTGTGTTTTTGGACCCTGACCCCGCGGATCTGCGTGAGGGGTGGCACCGAATTTCAGAAATGTGGCAAATCCCTTGTGTTTTTGGACCCTGACCCCGCGGATCTGCGTGAGGGGTGGCACCGAATTTCAGAAATGTGCAAATCCCTGGACCCTGACCCCGCGGATCTGCGTGAGGGGTGGCACCGAATTTCAGAAATGTGGCAAATCCCATGTGTTTTTGGACCCTGACCCCGCGGATCTGCGTGAGGGGTGGCACCGAATTTCAGAAATGTGGCAAATCCCATGTGTTTTTGGACCCTGACCCCGCGGATCTGCGTGAGGGGTGTCGATTTCGAGCCCCCCCAGCAATTCAGACAACGCGCCCAGGGAGTGCTAGAAAGCCGGTTTGGGCCTCCCCCCCCTCGCGCGGTCAATCAACTAGTTACAGTAACCCGCAAAAGTCAACTAGTTACAGTAACCAGCAAGAAGCAGAACTGTAACACTGGAAACTACAACCTACGACTGGTACAGGAAACTGCGAATCACAGGCCTACAGTCTGGTGGCCCCACAAGGGGGCCGGCGGATATCGGGGGTTATTCTCGTATGTCAGAATATGCATGGGAATGCATGGTCAAAGCTGCCATCGTGTCTTGGGCCCCCGATTCCGCGCACCAGATGTTGCTCAAAGACAACCAGGTGGCTTTGACAGCGCCAGACATCAAAAAGGGCCATGGCTGAGCGAATGCGGTGGCTCAGCGAGATCTCCCCGATGGTTTGGCATGTGTTGGCAGGCGCATCTGGAGTCCAGCCAGGCGAGTTGCGTTCCAGCTGTGTTTCCGCTGGCCAGCGTGCAATTGCATTTGTGCAATTCCGAGTGTTCAACGTGGCCGAGCGATTGCTCACTCTTTGCCGAGGTTGCGTTGAACAGAACCTTCGCGACCTCGCTGCTGGGGCCAGGTCGTCCGACGAGGTGGCCGCCAACATCTACGATTTGACGCAGCGCCGCCATCCGTTGAGCGTCGTTGCCAGGCTGGTAACGCTCATCGGGGACCTTGGGTGGACCACCGCTGTCACCGAACAACTCCACGCCCACGCGGCCATCGCCGCTCGGTTCCACCCGGAGTATGGTTTGAACATGGTTCAGGCAAAGGAAATGGTACAGACAATGTGCAAGCTTCTTCCCTCGTCGACCAAGGCAGACAAAGAATTGGCGAAGGTCCAGAGAGCCCTGGGCGCCCTGGAACGCAAGGACCCCAGCAAACACAGAGGGCACAACCAATACTTCGCTGATCTGGTCGAAGTGGTTGGCAGGAAGTTTAGGAGGGCTCGGCCGCAGACGAGGCAGCTCGTAAATCGGGGGGTGATGAAACAACATATGGGTGCATACAGGAAGAAATCCGACCGTGTCCGCAGACGCTACGCGCATGTCTCTCGAGCCCAAGCATCCTTGAAACAGCAACAGAACAGGACGAGCCGGGACGGCATGGTCCAGGATCTGGCGCGGATCCGCACCGAAGTGGCACGGGAGAAGCAGGAGCGGCCACCCCTTTTCCTGCGTTTTTGCGCGTGGGGGGACCTGGAGATGGGGGAGGGCGACGAGTTGCTGAAGGACGACGCGTTCGACGGGCACGGCTTGGCGGTTATGCGCGACCGCGCAGCCCAAGCTCCATCGCGCATGTCGGAGGAGCTCACGCAGGCCTTGGAGGACGAGGACATCCAGGGCGACGAGCAGGAGCCGCGGCCCGAGTGGATCCACGCTCTGGCCGCCCAGCGCGCCCACTTCGAGGGCGTCGCCTTGGTTGTCGACGTGGGTGGCGAACGACAGGTTATCTTTGAAATGCCGGGATCGGAGTTCGACCCCCCGTCCTCCCATCACCTACCGCGCGGATTCCTTTTTTCCAGGGGCTTGCAACAGCATGTTCAGTTTCTTAGTTTCTCTCAAGTCGGTGCTTGCACTCAAGGGCTCCTCGCGGGGGTGGCGCAGGCGGACGTCTGGTCTTGAGGGGGCTGCGCCTGCAAGCGAGATCTTCCAGGGGCGGAGGCCCACGGCTGATGGCGAGGTGTCTGAAGTGACGGAGGGGGGCGGGGACAACGACATTATGGTGCCCTGTCGCCTGTCGCAGTCGGGCGAGTGTGACGGGCGGCTCCCGCCCGGAAGGCCCCCCCGAGGCGGGCCGTTTCCAGGCGAGAGCGTAGGGCGGCGCGCGTCAGAACATTCCCTTTGGGCCCGGTGCGGGGGGATGCCAGCCCATCCTCGTCGCTCCACTTCGGAGTGCCCGAAGGGCCCCGCGCCATTTTCGCCAGAAGCTGTTGGTCGGCCATGCCGCCGAAGAAGAGGCAGACGGAGGGGCAGCAGGGCGGCCGCCGGCCCTTGAAGCGCCAGGCAACACACGAGGAGGCGCACAAAAAATGCGACGACAACCTGAAAACCTTGAGCGAAGAAGAGGTACATACCAAGAAAGTGGATTGGACAACTTTTTTCGAGCACGTTAAGGAAGGCATCAGGAAGAAGAGGGAAGACAAGTCGCACCCCATGGGGGAAGTACCGCTCCGATACTCACCCTCTCAACTTCCTGGAGCCGCCGACCCCGTATGACCCCGTGCCGCTGGCGTGCCTCATGGAAATGGTGGCTGCGGAGCGCAACCATCTCGACACCGCCAAGCTCGTGAACTATATTGCGCAGGCGAAGAAGCCGCTCAAGACGGAGCTTTGCGGGATCCTGAAATGGGCGTACGAGTTGTCGCCCAAGAGCGAAAGGCAGTATCCGGCTTGCGTTGCTGTCCTGAAATGGATGGACCGGTTGAAGATCAAACCAGAGTACCGCGTCCAGTTTGAGATCGTGACCGGTTGGATTGACAAGGTGTTGGACGCTATTCGTAAGCGTGCCGGCGCCCAGGTGCATGCGGAGACGATTGTGCGCACCCACAAGGACATATATTGCTTGCTCATGCCCGTTGCCTCCATCCGTGCTCCGATCCAGGCCGATCGGAAGTACGAAACCGTGCCCGAGCACGTCCGTGCTGTGGTGAACTCGTGCGACACCGGGGAGAAGATGTTCTCTTTCGCGCTCCTCGAGCTCGTGGCCAACACCGTGAGGGACAAGATCCGCGAACACATTGATGTGTTCATCAAGAAGCCGATTACGGAGGACACGACGGCATGCAGCAGACGGGGATTTGGGAACAATTGCGCTGTACAGGGCCCTGGGCCGCTGGGCGGGGGTAGCATGTGGAGACAGTGTGACGTCTCGTCCACCACAGGCTTTCCTCGGGGCCCACAGAGGCCCTACGTGGTTCCAGGGGGCCCGGGAGGCCCCAAATGGGGGGTCCAAGGCGTCGTGCAATTGCACGCCGCGTTGGGCGCGCGTGAGCCGAACTTGGGTTTGGAGCGAATCCTCCCTGTCCGGCCCATGTGGGGGGCGGAACTCTTTTCCGAGAGGTTCGAATATATTATCCCGTTTTGACTTCCGTCCTCCTCCTCCTCCTCGTCCTCATCCTGCTTGCCGTCCTCCTCTTTCCCCTCAGTCTTCATCCTGCTTGCGGTCCTCCTCCAACTGGCCGTCCTCCCCCTGTTTTCCTTCCATGAGGGGGCCACGCGAGGGACCAGACGTAAAGCCATGAGAGGGGGACATACGCGAAACCACACAGGGGGAAAAAGACGTAATACCATGAAGGAGGACACACGCGAAACCACACAAGGAGGGACATACGTAAAACCATGAGGGAGGACACACGCGCAACCACACAAGGGGGACAGACGTAAAACCATGAGGGGGGACATACGCGAAACCAAACAAGGGGTGACAGACGTGAAACCATGAGGGGGGACATACGCGAAACCACACAAGGGGGGACAGACGTAAAACCGCGATGAAGGACACACGCGAAACCACACAAGGGGGGACAGACGTAAAACAATGAGGGAAGACATACGCGAAACCACGCAAGGGGGGACAGACGTAACACCATGAGGGGGGACACGCGAAACCACACGAGGGGGACAGACATAAAACCGCGAGGGAGGACATACGCGAAACCACACAAGGGGGGAAAGACGTGAAACCATGAGGGAGGACATACGCGAAACCACACAAGGGGAGGGCAGACGTAAAACCATGAGGGAGGACACGCGCAACCACACAAGCGGGGACAGACGTAAAACCATGAGGGAGGACTGCCACGAGAGACGCCGGACAATGCCGGAAAAAGCGCCGGCCAATGCTGGGAAGCGTGCCGGACAATGCCGGGAAACGTGCCCGACAATAGCACTGAGCAGTGCCTGGCTGAATCGGCTACAAAGGCACCGATTGCGGGGTCAACAAAGCCGCGCAAGCCATCGAAAACTGTAAAACACATACGAAAACGTGCACCTCGTGCAAAACAGTGCGAGCGACGCCACCGCCGCGAGCGGCGCGCGGAGGCAATTTGCCAATCACGGAAAATGCCGGGCCACCTCCGCGGACAATGCCGGGAAGATGGGCGATTCGGCCAGGCTGAAACTCATAGCGTAGTAAGAGAAACAACCAGGGAGACTAAACCACGGACCAGGGACCCCGCTCGACCGAGACCCCAGGATACTTGGGATGTTTCCCTTGCGGGACAGACGTAAAAGGGTGGACAAAAGTGAAACCATGAGGGAGGACGCACGCGCAACCACACGAGGGGGGACAGATGTAAAACCATGAGGGAGGACATACGCGAACCCACACAAGGGAGGACCGACGTAAAACCATGAGGGAGGACGCACGCGAAACCACACAAGGGGGGACAGACGAAAAGCAATGAGGGAGGACATACGCGAAACCACACAAGGGGGGACCGACGTAAAACCATGAGGGAGGACACACGCGAAACCACACAAGGGGGGACAGACGAAAAACCATGAGGGAGGACATACGCGAAACCACACAAGGGGGGACAGACGTGGAACCATGAGGGAGGACACACGCGCCCCACATTCGCTAGGCCTGTTCGTTGCACGGCGCTGGGAGGGACCCCAGTATGGTCCGGGTGGCGCCCATAGGAGTCGCTGAACGAATCGACGTTCGCGTTCGCCGCAGAGGTGGAGCTCTTGCCGAATGTGAGGTTGCTTCTGTTGAAGCGCAATATCCTCTTAGACTATGGCGGCAGCGCCGTGCTTCCGAAGCCGGCGGGCACCATCCACCAGGAGGTCAAGGCCCGCTTCGTGGCTGCTTGGAAGAGCGTCGCGAGGGCCCAGGGCAAGATCGTCAAGCTGTGGGGGGAGGACGGAATCAGAACAAATGGTTGTTGTGCGCGGTGTTGCGCGACCTCGGTTCATGTTTGGCCCCCCGCTCGAATGGGCCTTCGGGTGGGCCCTTGGCCCCCGTAAGAGGGATCTACAAATTGTAGTCCCCTTTTCCATGTTTCGCAGGAGAAACAAGGGGAGGCCGTACTCTGTTCTCGGCGCACACTGGGGTCGAATTCTGGGGCCCCGCTCATGTGCTGATTTTCCCCCTGCCCGCCCCCTTTTGAGCGGAGGGGCGGGTTCGCCGTGGAAGCTTGCAACGTTGGGAATACAATTGTATCCAAGGGTATGGTTGTGCAGGAGCACATAGGCGTAGAGGGGTGCGGCAACGTGGACGTCAATATGTGTGGCCCTTGCAACGCCGGCCGTGAGGAGTGGAACATGGTCGTGGGGGAAAAGGAGCCCGCGAGCGCAGGCGCCGTCATGAACTTGTCCGAGGAGGTCTACACCAAGATGATAGGTTTTGATCCAGAGTGGGGCACGGATATATGCATTCTGGATTCATCGGCAGGGCAAGGCAGCGAGGCCCGCGTCTGCCAGGCGATGAAGACTCACTTTGCTTCTGCTGAGCAGGCCACCGCGCCGCAAAATGTGATACATGCCCTGCCCGCCATGTGCGGCACCGATTGCTACCAGCTTGCTTCGCGCGCGGCCCACGCCAAACACAGCATGGGCAAGATTGTCGACGAGGAAGCGCCTCAGTTGGACACCTTCAAGGACGACCCGCTGGTCTCGGACATCATCGACAACTCCCTGCAGTACTTCGCGAGGGAGGAGAAGCCTGCAGGTTCCGATGGTTCGTCCACCACGGTCTTCTGCAAGAAGGCGCTCACGATCAAGTACAATTAAGGCCAAGGAGCAACAGGAGGGCGGCACCGCCACCAAGCTCGACGTCGCCCCCTTGAAAACGTACCAGTATTTCCTCGATGACAGCGTGAAGCAAGATGCCCTGGCCTTGGTCAAGGCCGTGGAGGCGTCCTCTGAGCAGATCGCCATCAAGAAGGCCGGCCCCAGGAAGGCCGCCGCCAAAAAGAAGGCGGACAAGGCCATGGAGGAGGCCATGGCGATGTTCACGGGCGGCAAGGCGCGGAAGAAATGAGTGGTGGGCGATTGTGCCTCCATGCGCTTGTGTTTTGGGAGTGCCTGTAGCCGGTTGCTCCTTTGGGGGGCAAGTGGCGGGTTCAGGGGCCATGCGCGCACGTGCATGCACGCGGGGTTGCCGAGCCGAAAACCGGATCGTCGCAACCTCGCCCTCCCACTCCTCCCATGTCCCTCCTGCTTTCCTCCCCTCGCCTCTCACCTCGTCAGCCACTGCCTTGACGTGCGAGGCGCTTTTCGGTGCCCTCCGAGGTGATCCCCCATGGCGTGGTCGGAAGTCCGGTGATATAATCCTCTTGCCGCGTTCGCAGTTCCAGCGGTGCTGCCCATTCTTGCGTTGGCCTCGCCCCAGGGTGCTTTCCATTATTCGTTCCGTTGGCCTGGTGGTGCTCGCAGGCGTTGTATGCAATCTCACGCTGCTGCTCTTGCTTCTGGGTTTCACCGTGGAAGCGTCCGCGCAGGGAAGCGCGGGGGGCGATGCGATGCACGAGGAGGAAACTACAGGAGGAGGACGGCACGGAGCACATGGAGACGGGAAAGGACGAGGAGGACGGGGAGAGGAGCAGGAGGATGGAGGGCGAGGATGCGGAGCAGGAGCAGGAGGAGGATGGGGGAGGCCGAAGCGGTTGGTCGGGTGTCGTCGGGTTTCGGGCTGCCTCTCGCGAGTGGAAACGCTGGGAACGGCGAACACCTTGCATATCGCCGCGCTGATGCCATGCGAGTCTGCGTTTACGCTTCGCGTGCCGCCGCCGGCCCCGCCGCGGTGATTACCCCAGGTTCGAGTTGTTGCTCAGGGGCTTTTCGGAGGCAACGGAGGCACAAATTGCAGGGGGACATGTCAAACCGAAAGTTCCCGTCAGCCAGAGCGGCCCCAAACCACGAGTGTGTTTGGGATCTGTGTGAGCTGCTGCACTGACCAGTGGAACAGTTCCTGGGATCTTTCGCGGACCGTTTCGAAACCCTAGAGTGTCTGGGTTGGTCTTTGTGCGGTTATTGCGAGCTGTTGAGGCCCACCGCAGGGCCCCTTTCGAGGAGGCCATCTGCAAAAGAACGAAGGAGGTCGGAATGAATCCAGCCTCATTTGCTCTAGGAGCGTTGCCTGGTGGAGTTTCTTGGGGGCGTTTTGGGATGTTCCTTGGTGGTTTTGGGAGCCCTCTTCGGTTCCTCCAATTTTGATAGAAACTCTCCGGGGCCATGAAATTGTCGGGCATACGCATGGCCTGGAGGCCCATCGGGGCCGAGAGGGTCAGAAAGAACGGGCCATTTAACAATGTAAAACTGGTTGGCGGTTTTCGCTTCTTGGTTGGATGCTCGGGATGCTGCATGGCCAGACCGGGCCGCCACACGATGGCATTTACGCGTGTTGGAAGCATGTTGGAGGCTATATCGCGACACCGTGGACCATTGAGCGCCGCTTGTGGGGGCCATCGTGGGCCACGCGTGGCCACATTGGAGCCGAACAGGGCCATCCTGGGCTTTCTCGCCCCCAGCGGTTATGCCCGTCCAGGCCCACAGGGGAGCTTTTTGTGAGATGGAGGGCCGAATGCAAACGAGGGGTGAGCGGAATGATAAGCACCCCGCTCAACCGTATACAAGTCCAGGCTGGTGTCAGTTGCACTCCAATGCGCTCCCATGTAGCAGTTGCACTTCAATGCGCCCAGGCTCCACGCACGTCTGGTACATGCCATCTCGGCGCAATGTCGTTGCACATAAATTTTGATGCACAGAGCGAGTGCCGATCCAGTTAAATGCGGACTGAAGCATAGCTTCGTTCAGTCAGGCGCCCAGCCTGCGATCGGCGTGCGTTCGCGTCGAGCCACCTCTTGCGGCGTACACGTTCGCGAGACAATTCTGGGCAGGGCGAGACGTTCTCGATGTCGCTGCCCTTGCGCCCGCTGCCGCCGCAAACTCGTTGAACTCACACGTCCAGCGACGCTGGCGGACCCCGAGAAAAAAATGGGGGCACCGCCAAATCTCATCCGTAACATCTGCGGACCTCGCCGGCCTGGCCTCCCCCCCCCGAGCCGCGCAGATGCCGCCGGCCATGATTTACGCCCCGCCCCCTCCTTGGCCGCCCCCGAATGACGCAATTTTTCGCGCGCTGCACATTTTTTCGCGCGCATGCCGCGCAGAGGGTGCGGGAGGTGCAGTGAACAATGCCGAGGAGGCACCGACGAATCGTGGGCGCCGCGGACGCAAGAAAAGGACGCGTGCACACGCACTCGGGTCAGCACAGGTGCACGGTCGTCGTGCTGCAATCCCAGCCGGCGGCGCTCTTATTCCGACCGCAGAGCGGGCCGACAAAGAAACGCGGGCCAGGGACGGAACGGGGACAGGCCAGAAAGCGAGGAGCCGAGGAGCGAGAAAGGGAGGAGGCGAGGGAGGGACGACGACAGGAAAGGACAGACTGGGCCGAGTTGGAGGATGCGAGGGGTGGCGCTACCGCCGCTCTCGCCTCTGCCGACGGGGCTGGCAGCCGCGCCAGGCCCTCGCCGACTGCGTGCGGACTTGCACAACATTCAGGGGCAACGATAAGGGGGAATGGGCATAGGGGGGGATGCATCGACCCCCAATCGCCCATTGATCGCCGATAAGGGCCCGATAGCCCTAACGTGCCCAGGAAGGTGCGGACTCACTATCGGGGCCCTATCGCCGATCTATCGGCGATATATCGCCGATTCCAGGTCAATGCATCCCCCTATGCCAGTCCCCCCCTATCGTTGCCCTTCAAATATGGATTCCATTTGAAACCCTCCACAGAAGACCTTCTCTGGGGCAGTCTGGCACCATATGTGAAGGCTGGGGGAGGAGGGGGGGGACAAACAAATCGGTTGAACATGTTGTCAACATTGTTTTTCTTCCCCCCCCCATCCCGCTAATCCATCCATCCCCCCATCTGCGCCACCACTTGCGGCGTGGACAGTTCCTCCCTCTCCCTCTCCCTCCCTCCCCTCCCTTTTAGGGTTCGAATCTTTACCTGTCCGCTTCACAGAAATGTGCGCGACGTGGAGGCGAGAATGTCGTTTTTGAAAAAGTGTGCGCTGCGCCGAGGCGAGAGTGTGATTTTTAGAGAATCGGGGCTCCCAGACCGCCACTTGAGAATCCCCCGTTCTCGAAAAAGGAGCCTCCGACACTTCGCGAAACCTCCCAAAATACCTGAGGGAGGGGAGGGGGAGGGTTCCCCTCCCCGAAGGGAAGAGGGGTTGTGGAAGAGGCAGGAGCCCCTCCTTGGACTACCTATCGCCACGAGGGCCAGTGGAATTAAATCGATGTTGAGTCCGCTTGGAGACGGACGAAGTGGCCGTGGCTCGAGCGATCCCCTCGGCGTCTGTTCCCGAAGGTGCGCGCCCGCTGGAACGATGCGCGCGAGGCTCGGTTGTCTTGGTTGGGCCATGATATTTCCTCAGATTTCATGGCGCCTCTTCTTATTGTAGTGGCCTTCGGCCAGTGCCGCCGATCCGGGGCGCTCCGACTGATGTGATCCTTCTTCGGCCTCGTCCCTCCTCTCTTTTTCCCTCCCCTCATCTCACTCAGCATTTATCCAGTGGCCGTCGGCCTATCCCGCCACCGTGCGTGGGTGGTGGGTCAGAGGCCTCATGGATGCTGGTTGGGATCTCGTGGTTGGCTGGGACTTCTGGGGGCCTCTTGGGCGCCTCTTGGGGCTTCTTGGGGGCCTCTTGGGCCTCTTGGGGCCACTAGAGGGCCTTTGGGGGTCTCTTGGGAGCCTCTTGGGGCTTCTTGGGGGCCTCTTCTGCGCCCCTTGGGGCCTCTTGGAGGCCTCCTCGGAGCCTCTTAGGTGCGGGAGGGGTGATACTCGAGTTCGGAACCCCCTCCGAGGCCACGATCCTTGTGAGGGGTGTCAAAAAACGCATCCGCCATAAACTTGCACCCCCCCCCCCCCACCCCCCCTTCCCCGGCAAAGCCACCCCGGCAACCCCCCCAGAGACTGAGGCTCAGCCTCGAGGCTGTAGCTGAGACTCCTTGAAACTCACACGCCGGATCGGCGGATTTCATTCTGTCCCTGGCCCCCTTGCTTGGCCGCGCACATGCCGCCGGTCATGTTTTGCACCCCCCCCTCTTGGACACCCCCCTCTTGGCCGCTCCCGACACCATAACGGACGTTGCGGGTGGGGGCATCACATCGCGCGCCTGTTGGAACGATGCGGGCGGGGCTACTGCGTGGACTACTACTACTACTACTACTACTACCACTACTACTACTACTACTACTACTACTACCACTACTACTACCACTACTACTACTACTA